TCGTTTGACTCCCACAGGGACCCAGTGAAAGAAGTATCTTTTGAAGCCCCATTTTACAGATGAGATAACTGAGCCCTGAGATAGAAAGAGGTCAGCAAATGAGGCCGTATGGGTCTAGAAACCTGCCCAGCCTTTTTACTCCAGGTTCCAAGGCCTTGTCTGCCCTCAAAAGTATCAAGAGATTTGTTCCAGCAAAAACCACCACGCCCACTCCCAGCTTCTCGGGAAAAGCCTCCTTCCAACCACAAACACTCCTGGCCCTTTCTCCTGTGGATTTCCCCCTTCATCTCAGGATGGCCATGAGCTGGGGACGTTACTCTCCAAGCTGGAGCAGGCAGGGAGGCCGGGGCCATACCCCAATCCAGAGGCACGGGGGAGGGTGTGGGACGTGCCCAGGTCCGGACAACCTAAACCTCGGCAAGCTCAGTGCATTTGCCACTTGGTAGATGCTGAGCTAAATGCTGTGCGGGTGTTATCTCAAGTTCATGTCTGCCATGCCCAGTAAGGTCAAAATCCTCGCCCTGCTTTGCAGTGGAGGACACGGGTTCAGAAGGTAAAGGTGACGTGCAGGAGCAATGGTGGTCATCAGCTGGGCTGCTGGACCAGCTCCTACCCCTTCACTGTCTTGCATCACGGACCACTGGGGACTATGGGTGGGGTGCGCACGAACCCAGATGTATAGGGCAATCGGAGCATGCATGAGTGTGCAGATTTTTCCAGGTTGCCTTGGCATCACTTGCTTTTTCTTCTAGGGAGTGAGCAGCTGGGAGAGCTGGGGTGGGAAGACTTAGGATATATTTACTCAAACCACTTGTTCACGGCCTGAGCCACCTGGGGAAGGAGCAGAACTGAGAGGTCGCTGAGGGTCTGCCGAGGCCTGGGGGTGAGTAGGAGGGGCTAGGAACCCAGCAGTTTCCCCCACCAGTCAGTGGGGGCAGCCGGGACTGTGGTCAGCCATGAGGTCTGGAAAGGGCTCAGGATGGAGGGGGAGGTGATCCTGGGGGGAGGCAGGGGACTCCGGTTTGGGGGAGCAGGCCAGGGTGCCCCCTGGCTGGAGGCCCCGGACTCCTGCTGCACACACCCCTCTCTGGAGTTTCTCTCACCCTGGTCGCTGGATCCTCTTACTTTTCCTGTCAATGAGGAAGCTGTTTACTCCCAGAAAGTCATTCATTCCCCGATAAGATCAGCCGCATTGTTAAGGAGAATTCTCACTTCCTGCCTGGGAGGAGGCCAAGGGCCGGTGTCCAGCGCTCAGAGCCCCATAAACAGTCCTAGACCACATTGCCCAACAGCTCCTATTGTAAAAATGGGGAAACTGAGGTCCAGAGAGAGGAAGAGCAGAAGGCCAGTGTTAGAGCTGAGCCCCAATCCAGCCCCCCATTCCCAGGCCAGGCATTGCCCTGCCCTCCGTCAAAGCACCCCACAGTTTCCACGAGCTGCCTCTCGACTGTAACATTCAACAAGCCGGTCTAAGGAAACAGGCCAACAAAGCATTCCAGCACAGCATAATATTTTAATGTAACACTCTAATATACTAACATTGCATTCAAATATAATGTTCTAACACAGATTAATATCGTAATTCAACATTTCAGTGCAACTCTAACCAACATTCTAACCTAACATTCTAAAGCAACACACCATTCTAACACACAACATTACACAATGTCCTAATGCGATATTAGAAGACATCGTACCACAACATTCTAATCTAGGCTGCTAACCCAATATGACATTTCTGCATTATTTGAACACAATTCTAACATAACACTTAAAATAACTTTCTGAGTTATTACTCTAATATTGAGGATTCTGGGATTTTAAGCTCCCAGAGTTTCCGTTGGACAAGGTGATGCCATGCCTAGCTGGCTTCTGATCCGTGAGGCCAGACTCCTTCCCAGTTCTGGGGGACCCCCGGGACCCAGGTCAGACGCCCCAGCTGCCCAGCCTTACAGAGGGATGGCACGTCCTTCCCGAGGCACAGGGCGGGGACTCTTGACCTCTGGTGGCGGCCTCTCCCCCTCCCCCTCTCCTCCAAGCCCCATGCTTCTGCGGGCTGGGGGTGGGGGTGGGGGAGAAGGAGGTTCTGATCCCACTTGGAACAGCATATTGGGATGGTCCCAATATTCAGACCAAGCTTTTCTTGCCACCTTCCGTTCAGGTTACTCACACCAAGGATAAGAGGTTCTACAGCCAGGGAAGAGGAAGGTAGTCAGGTCCCTGGGGCAGCATTAACTCCTTCAGGCCCGGGAGAACCACAGGCTGCCTCTCCACCTGGCCTCCTTCCGTTCCTGCCACGCGGGCTGCCTGCTGTTCATCACACTCACCATTTCCAGCCCCTGCGCCTTCGCACTTGCTGTTCCCTGTGCCTGGACCCCTTCCCCTAGTTTCCCATACTCCACCACTCACTGTCTTTGGGTCCCTCCCTGCTTCAGGGTGGCCTCCTCAGTGGCCCCCAGGGCCGGGCTATCCTAGGCAGCAGCCCCATCATGCGGGGCCCCTCCCTGTGCAGATTCCCTTCACAGTCCATAGCTACCACCTCCTGTCTGCATTTCCACACTGCTGGCCTCTGCCCTCATCCGAGTGGCCTTTAAAATCCCAATGCCCCACGGCAGACCAAGTGGATCAAGATGACTGGGGGCGGGGAAGAGGTCCAGGCATCAGGAATTTTTTTAAAGCTCCACAAGTGATTCCCACAACATGTGGCCAAGGCTAAGTGCCCCTGAGCTAGAATGTTGCTCCCTGGGGCCAGGACCTCTTCTGTCTGTGTAACAGTGTCTGGCCTCGGTGTGTGATGACAAGTAGGTTTTAATACACACCTGTTGAATGAATAAACCATTCAACAAAATATTTCCAGTTTTAAAACTTTCCAGATAGCAAAAGTTATAAACAATACAGAGGGTCAGAGCGTTTCCCAATGAAAAGCTGATTTCCTCCTTCCCTAGCTCAAGTTGTCCTAAAAGGCCGAGCAGCATTAGCCTGGGGGGCAGGGGTGGGGGGCATTCCCTGCAGAGGGCACAGCATGTGCAAAGGCCCGGGGGTGTGACCCAGCATTAGGTATTTCCACCTTGGAGAGTCTCTTACCACCTTCGTTGGGATCTGTCAGCCTGTGCTATGTGTAACCTTGCCGGGGCCCTTCCAGAATGCCTTAACTGCCCCAAAGTTTAGCTTCTGCAAACTTCCTTCAAGCCTCGATTTCTCCTTTAGTCAATGGGGAGGATTACTCTGCCTCCAGGGGTGGGGGCAGTATTCTGAGCATCTAATAAGATAATAGCTGTGAAGTGACATATAAACTCTAAAGAGCTGTGCATTATAATGACAGAGTGCCCTCTGTGTGCCAGGCCTGAGCCTTGTTCTCTAGCGACACCATTTCATTGAATCTATGCCGCAGCTGGAGGTGAACTGGTATCTGCCACTTGGCAATTGGGGAAATAGAGGCCGAGAGAGGTGTAATGAATGGCTTGTCCGACGGTCACCCAACCTAGAACGAAACCTAAGTTTTCCATCTCTAAAGACTGTGGAAATAGCAGATTCAAAGGCTCTCAACCACACACGTGCAAGGTCTGTAGGATTTGAGAATTCCCAGTTCCACGAGTACCAGTGGCCTGGGCCGGGTGGACAGTCTGGTTTCATGATTTATTTCACCCCCACCCAGTTGTTTGCCAAAGGGAGGGGTGGGGCGGTGGGCGGCTGTGAGCCTGGGCTGCCCAGTCACAGGGTGGACTTGTCCGACTGCCAGCCAATCCGGGCTGCCGGAGCTGGCGTTGCAAAGGCCCTGGCCCCATCTTGCCGGGACACTCTATCTTTGTCCCCAGACACAAAAGGGGCCTTGTCTTGGCCCGGCAGGGCTGATTCCACATGCTCCCGACTGCCCCAGCCCCTCTGCCACGAGAAAGGCCCACTTTGTCGAGTCAAAAGACTAACTTGTTTCTTTTTTATCAAAACGTGTTGACTGACCTGGCTGATTTATCTTGGGAAAGTGGAGAGAGAGGGAGGGGAGAGAGGTGACAGAGACAGGCATAATCCAGAGGCCGTGTAGCCTGGCCTGACTTGGGGGTGGGCACCCAGCCCTTACCCGAGGCAGAATGACGGCTGCATACTGAATGTAATTTCAGAGGGTTAGGACAGCCCTCCAACCTCACTAGCAGTAGAGATTTAGAGATTCCACCGTTAGGTATTCATTGCTTTGGCTTTAACCTTTGAAGGCAGCTAAAGATAAAAACTTCCTTCAAATAGAAACACCTTATTATCACACCTGAGTGTGAATGGGTTTTCCTGAGAAGAGAGGTGAGTCAGTAGCAGGAGAGACCAAGCAGCAAAAAGGGGGGGCCACTAGGAACCCAGAAGTGGGGCTGGGAGAAAGAAGGTGGGTAGTATGTGCAGGTAAAGAGAGATCAAGTGAGGGAGGATTTAAAAGAAGATTTTGTCTTTGGTAATTTTTCCTGGAGATCAATCCTTCTGCCTCTGCACTCGCCAACACCATCACTCAGCCCCTCCCTCCCTCCCTCCCTCCCTTCTTCCTTCCTTCCTTCCTGGGGGACAAGTGTTCCCTACAGAGGGAACAGCACATATGAAGGCTCCAGGGTGGGGCAGACATGGAACGTTCCAGATATGCTGAGGACGCCAGCATGGTGGCTTCCCACCACGCGTGTGACGGGGAGAGTGGTGAGAGGAAGGCTGCAGGGTAGCAGGGCCAGATCCGCTGGGCTTGGTGGTTCCTGGTCACGTCCTCGGGTTTTTGTTCTCAACGAGATGGGAAACTGTGGGAGCGAGCAAGGGGCTGCCATGATCTGAGTTTTATTTCTAAGAAAGCCCCAGCTGCTGCATGAGACATGGATGGGATGGAGGCTGCTGCAGCCATCCAGGTGAGAGCCGCGAGCAGCTGCGCCCACGGGCATGACGGGCAGAGTGGGCAGGATTGAGATGTATGTTTTAGAGCTAAGACACAGAAAATGAATGAATGAATGAATGAGCCCCTGACATGGGAGCCGGGAAATTTAGGCTCTAGCCATATCCTGCCACTGAGTTTCTGTATGACCCTGAGCAAATCGCTTCCCCCCTCTGGGCCTCAGTTTCCCCATCTATGAAGTGAGGTTGAAGGATGCTGGGACAGCTGAGGCCAAGGTCTCTTGCAGCAGGGACAAGCCAGCCTTGAGATCCTTAGCCCCTGATACTCTCGGGGGCGGGGACCGTGATCCAGTTACTAATGTTGGGCCCGACTGGTGCAAGGGCAGCTGCAGAAACCTGGGGCTGATGCGGTGACTCACGCGTGGTCCTTCTGCCGTCAGCAGAAACTGGGACAGCCAGGGGCCTGAGACTCACCCGCAGGCTGGGAAAGGCTGGCAGGGTGCCTTCACGCAGCTGGGGGAAAGAAGCAGGCTGCCAGCACTGGGCTTCTTGGGTCCTCTGGGGACTGATATTTCAGCCACCGCAGCCACTGCACCTTGCCCCTTAGCCCGGGCTCGGCACCAGGCTGTGCCTGGCCTCTGTGGGCCACCAGGAGGCCCTGGCAGGAGAACAGGACCCACTATGAGCCCACTCGATCATCTCTCTGCCAGGTGCAGGATAAAGTATACATTACTGCCCCCATTTTATTGATGAGGAAACTGAGGCACAGAACGTTATAGGGTGGCAGTGCCGGTAGTCCTGCTGGGTTTGATGAGTTCTTCCCATTGTTTTGCTCTGCCTCCCAGGAATGAGGCAGAAGGGTGTGAAAGAGAAATGAAGGGAGGCTAAATATGTTTTAATAAATATAGAAACTCACACCCTCATGTTTTACCAGGGACTTTCAGACAAAAGCTTCTTCTTTTTGCAGCCTAAGTATAGCCTTTTTGCAACGTGGAGAAGCCACTTGGCCATTGTTCACAGCTCTTTCACTGCTCATTTATTCATTTGCAATTGCAGCAAATATTTACCAAGAGCTTTCTACGAGCCAGGGACTATGAGAGGCTCTGAGGAGGGGGACAGAATGATTAACAAAAAGTGACTTAGTATCCGAACCCACTGGCTTATCTGGTGTAGAGAGCGAGACAGATATTAACCAAAAAAGTTTGGAAACAGTCATTTTCTAACTGTGCTTTGAGTAAGTTCCTTCCTCCTTGGAGTTTCAGTTTCCTCATTGTAAAACGAGATGGCTGAAGTTCTTCCCTCACGAGGTTGTGGTGAGGAGTAGACGAGATATTAACTGAGCCCGAATATGTGCTTATTAAATATTAGTCGTTGCTGTGATCAGTGCTGTACGCAACTTACCTTCGGCAGCCTTGCTGTTGATGGCTGGGTTAGCGTGATGTGCTGGGAGGCAGGTGCCAAGGTTGGATGAGACGGGCAAGAGGTTTATTGGAGAGGCAGCAGGAGAAGGCAGGGGCAGCCTTCTGACCTTGACCATGCCGGTCTGGCACCCAGGAAGGGAGAGGGAGAAGGAAGGCAGAGGGGCCACAAGAGTCTGGGGCTACAGCACGATCCTAAGGAAGGCCCAGCCACGCCGCCGGGCAGTGCTCAGCCGAAGTCCCTTACAGGGGAAGTGCCGCCCCCCCCCAGAGCGGGCCTGCCTTGGCACCCCCACCACACTCCGTGCCGGCTACGAGCAGCGCACAGGAAGCGTGGGCTCGGCACAGACACGGCGGCACGTCCCCAGCGGGCAGCAGCTGGGGCCGTCTGTCAGTCGGGCTCCCCAGCACAGGCGATCTGAGCGGGGCCTCTTCTCCGCTGCCACGGTGACCAGATTGGCCCCGGAGCGCAGAGTCCCCCCACTCTGCGCAGCCCACGGAAACCAGTCCGCCGTGCAGCGTCTGTGCCCCCCGTGTGACAAAGTCACCGGCCAGGGGTCTGTGGGGAGAGCGCTTGGCCAACAGCGAGACACGCGCCGGGGACCAGTTTTAGATTGTGCCAGGTGGAAAATGCAATGGGATCCTTTGGGACCAGACTGCCGGCCCAGGAACGGGGATGCCACAACTGCACTTGCGACAGTAAGGGACATCCGGAATGCACGGGGGAGACAGCTGCCCAGAGCCTTGGCTGTTCCGGGGCAATGCACTTGGGCGAGGGGCCCCAGCACCATGCCAGGAAGGGCGCTGGGGTGCTGGGACCCCTACTCCCCCAGCTGGAAGTTTCTGTGGATCTTCTCGGCTCAGTGTGGAAGGGGCCTTCTCACACGGCCAGGACAACCCTCTCGTTACACAGACGGGGACAGTGAGACCCGAATGGAGACAAGAGCTGCACAAAGTCCCCTAAGGGTCACCAGATGAACTGAGTCTCGCTCCCCGGGCAGGGCTGGGTCCTCTAGGGGCGACCCTGCCAGCATTCACCGAGGGTCTGCCGTGGGGACATGGGGAGGAGGGCAAAGAAGGGTCAGATGACCAGAGAGGGGGACGGGGCTCAGAGAGGGGACAGGGAGCCCAGAAGAGGGTATGAAGGCTCAGAGAGGAGGCTGGGGTCAGAGAGGGGCACGAGAGCTAAGAGAGGGATGGTCGAGGTGCGGGGGGCTCAGAGACAGGGACAGGGCTGAGAGACGCTTGTCCAAGGGCTGGGCTCAGGCTCTGAGGGCTCACAGGGTCCCGGAGCAGCCTGTGTGGGCCCCCGCCCCGCTCCCCTGCTCTCCCGGCACCTGCACAGTCACCGAAGGGGAGGGACTGACACTCTCAGGCGTTAGTCAGCTCGTGGTGTTAAAAAAAGAAGGCTTGGTGGCACTTGTGAGGAACATCTCTCTCTTCCAGCTTCGAGCACCAAGGGGCGGCCACTTCCCCTGCGTCACTGGGTGCAAGAAGTGGAGTCAGGCACAGGGAGGAGGCCCAGAAGGCAGGACCCCAGCCCCGTGAGGCCTTCCCCCCACTCCCATCTCGTTATTATCACGGCAGTGGTGAGGACAGCAATGCCATCAGTAGCCACGTTTGTGACGCCACTTCTCTTGCCACTGGCCCAGGCAGGCGAGGGGGCTCTGATCCTGCCTCTGCCTAGAGTTGTTCACATCAAGACGCCTTCTCTCTTGGGCCACACATAGGGCCCGGCAAGCGAGGACTGGTCAGGGCAGCCACCCACATGCAGGCGTGAGCACCAGGAGCTCAGAGGGCCCACGTCAGCCGCCACCTCCCGCTTCCCAGATGGGCACCCTGAGACTCTCGGCGGCAGCCCTCCTCCAGTGTCGTGTGGCAAGTTGCCCAGGTCTCCTGGGCCCAGGCAGGGTAATTCCTGGAAACCCACTGGTGCTTAAGGAGCCGGGCTCCCCGCAAAGTGTGACCAGTGACGGTTAAGTCGTTCGTGCTGACTCTGCCGGCACACGTGAAGACTTGTGCAATCCTCAGCGATTCTGCAAGGCAGGTATTTTTGAATCCTGTCTTCCACATGAAGAAATTTAAATGAGGTACCCAAGGCCACAGAGCTGGAAACTGGTAGAACCGGAGGCTGGACCCAGGCAGGTGGCCTTCAGAGCACAGGCAGTGAAGCGCCAGGCCACCCTGCCTCTTGTTAACAGGCAAAGACAAAACTCGGTGATGGTGATCGTTTACTTGATGATCCTGCACATTGGCACTGACCCTGGCCGGCACTGACCTTGGCCGGCACTGACCCTGGCCGGCACTGACCCTGGCCGGCACTGACCTTGGCCGGCACCGACCTTGGCCGGCACTGACCTTGGCCAGCACTGTGCTAAGTGCGCCACATAGTACATTCGTTCACTCATCCATTCCTCTAACAAACGCTAAGCCTAATAGATCCAGGCACCACTCTAGACACCAGGCATACAGCAGTCAAAAAGCAAGTCAGGATGCCTGCCTTCTGTTCTCATCCTCATATGAAGTAGGTAAATGTATCCTTATTTTTAGATGAAGCACAGAGTGGCAGTGTCACCTGCCCAAGGTCACACAGCAAGGAGTGCAAAGCCCACATTTGAACCTGGGCCTGGCAGATGCCTCATTCTCTGCTCTGAGGACCCTTTTCCAGCAATGTCCCCAGGGACAAGAGATGGTGCACTGACATCTGTCTGGGGCTCAGGCCCTTTCAGAGCCCCTGAGCACCGCGTCCCACACGGCCTTAGCCTCATTCCCAAGAGGGCTAGTGGCCCCACCCTCCCCGGGCTGTCGTGGGGATTCCTCCCTCCCTCCCTTGCTTCTTTCCTCACACTAGCTGTGATGCCTCCTGCCATTGTCCTGACACCGTGGTTTAGGAAGCCCATCTTTTTCTCCTGGAGGTTAGTTTTGCTCCAGTCTGCAGAAGAGAAAACCCAGGGTGCTCAGAGAGGCGAAATGATTCAGCCAAGGCAGTGAGCCAATCGGAACTCGAGCCCGGACACGTGTGCCTCAAAGCAGTGCCACTCAGGGTCCCAGCAGGGGCAGATAGTACCCCCCAGCTGGGTCGTTTGATTTGAGTTTAATAAAGGGATGACTTACAAAGCGCTGGGAAAGGTATAGGAAACCACAAAGGATGAAGCAGCAGCCCAGGGCGGGTGCAAGTGGAACTTTTATCAGACCAAAGGGTGAGAGGAGGGAGAAGCTTCATCACCGGGAGACAGAGCGAGAGCCGTCAGAGGAGGTGTGGCCTTCAGTTGGAGGACACAGGCGGCCTGAGATGACCCTGCAGGCAGGGAACGGGGAATAAATACCCAGCCTCACGCTCCTCCCTCCTCCAGATGCTCCCAGGATCCCAAAAGCCAGACCCAATGGGAACCAGACGACAAGGTTTCCCTTGATGGACGTGGCCCCTGCAGGCCAACCCCTCAGGACGGAAAGCAGGGAGCAGGGTGGAAAGCTCTGGGAGGAAAACCACAAGGTCTCCAGCCAAAGTCAAGTGCAGCATCCTTCCCTGCCTCCCGCCTTGCACGGGCAGAGTAGGTTCCGCGGCCTGTGCCGGCAAGGTCCCGGCGGCGCCTGCAGTAGTCACAGTGGCTCGTTCACGCTGCAGGAACAGACAACCTGCGGTTCCCCAGGCTTCCAACAGGTTGGCAGACCGTGGTCTGCAAGCCGGCCATGCCGTCTATGGCCGCTGTCTTGCTCCAAAGGCAGAGTTAAGTAGCTGCGACAAGCCTAAAATATTCATTCTCTTACCGAGAAAGTTTACCAACCCTTGGCTTTAGGAAAAAGGTTTACCTTTTATTCACGTTACGTGTCCTCCTCCAGTTGGCAGGGCCTCTGCCCCACGACGCCCACTGTCAAGGACCCACGTGGGTGAGTGTTCCCCTAAACACTCCTCCAGCCTCCCTGGCGGGGACGGAGAGAGAAAATCGCTCACCGGTTCTCAACATCCCCACCAGGAAGCGGCCCGTCTCGCTCCTGCTCGCAAATCTTTGTGGCCGTGTCTAACTACAAGGGGGAGGAAGGAACTGCTGTCCCTCCGTGGGCCCGACAGGAGCAGACCCAGAAATGGCCCCCGAGGGTGGACAGCACCGCCGACAACCGCAGGCGGGGACATGGCAGACAGCTGGCAAGCAGAGCAGGGAGGACAGCGCCGCCGTGTCGTGCCGCAAACTGCCCCGTGACAGGGCCCTGTGCAAGCTGCAGCAGCGCTGGGAGTGGGGATCAGGGTCCCTGGGAGCTCGGGCCACACCCGCCTCCCATCCTCCGCCTTCCTCAGGCCTCGGCCTTGGATGGGACGCGGGGGAGGGGCAGGGACCAACCTCTGCGGGCTTCCCTCTCCCTCCACCAAGGAGAATGGAGCCAAGGCCACACTGCCTTCCCTGCTGTGTCCCCACCTTTGTGCATGGCAACTCCATTCTGGGTCCAGCCACAAAACCTAGAATTATCCCAGATCAGGGTTCTCAGACCCTAATCCTGTGCCCTTTAAAATAAACCCGAATCTGGCCCTCCCTCATCTCCTTCATTCCCGCCTGGCCCCAGGCAGTGCCACCTGACACCCACACACTGCGGTCCCTTCCTAACCCACCTTGGCTTCCCTGGAGCCCCGAAGTGCATCCTCACTCTGGCAACCAGCACATCTGCTGGAGACAAATGGGATGATTCCGCTCCTGCGCGGAGCCTCCCCGGCCCGGCTCAGGCAGAGGGAAGCTGGCAGGGCCGCGCTCGGTCCGGCTCCCACTGACCCTCCCGCCCGCTGGCGCCAGCCGCGCCGACCCGCTCCTGCTCCTCCAACATGCCAGGCACGCGCCCACCTCGGGCCTCGCTCCGCCGATCCCTCTGCCAGAAACCCTTCCCTCGCTACCCCCACGGCTCGAGCCCTCACCGCCTTCAGATCACCGTTCGGGTGTCACCTCCGCAGGGAAGCCTTCCCTGACCCCGCCAGCCACCCGCACCGCCCCCTCCCCCGGCTGTGTTTCTCTCCATCGCCCTCCTGCACCTGACACTGTCTTTGTTGTTCCTGTGTTTGTGTTCTGCCTGTCCCCGCGAGGACCGAGGGCGGGAGGGCAGGCGCCGCCTGCTTTGCTCGCCGCTGTGTTCGTCCCAGTGCCGGGATACAGCCTGGCGCCGGGCAGGCCCTCCGCGGATACTTGTCGAGGGTGTGAGTGGGCAGGCAGGGAGGCAGGTGGGCACAGGGAAACATCCTCTCCCCTCTCTGCCCTACCGGCAGTGACTCCACCTCCCGGCCTCGTGGTAGCTGGCACAGGCGGCCCCAATGGGAGAGTCACACCACATGAAGACGCCACCATTCAGGAGCTGGGTCCTCGCGTGGTGCTATGGAACCAGCAGGTCTGGGTTCACGTCTCTGCTCTTCCTGTGACCTGGAGCAAATGGCATCACCTCTCTGCTGCTCAGTCTTCTCATCTCTGAAATGGGGATGGTGCTAATAATGTGTACGTTATCCCTTACACCTCACAGGACTGCCGAAGGACTGACCCAGGTGCGCGTGAGGGGCACAGCACAATCCCGACACCTACTGTTGTCACTATTGCTATTGTTTTGCTTTCTTCTCAATCTCGCCAGTGGCCCCGGGGGAATCTGTGCAGCAGTAGGGCTTACTGAGAGTTTAACTAGCTTCAGGAAAAGGGGACCTAGGTTCAAATCCTAGCAGCTACTGTCTTGCTATGTGACTTTGTACAAGTCAGTAGCCCTCTCTAAGCCTCAGTTTCTCCATCTGAGCAATGGAAGGGGTGTTGGAAGAGTTAGTCTCCATGGTCCCTGCAGCTTGCCTCTCCAAGTCCTTCCAGGGGACCAAGCCCTCTGCAGTGGCCTGCACTGTGGAGGCCCTGGGGCTGAGCAGGCTGCCTCCTCCCACCACCCTCCCGACTCTGGGGGAGGGCAGGGAGGAGCCCTGGTCAGGGGAGAGGCAGTACTGGAGTTCTCACTCGGTTGCTGTGTGACTTGAGGCGAGTCCCTTAGTCTCTTGTGCCTTAGTGTCCTCATCTGTAAACTGGGAATAATTATAACTTGTGAGGATGAAATAAGTTGCTAAGTGTAGGGCATCGAGATAAGTGCTTGGCACAGAATAACCACTATTATTACTAATAGCAGTTGTTGTTACTAACAGCCACAGCCTGTCTTTGGACCATGCACCATGCTAGGTGTTTTACAAACTTTGATTTAATTCTCACAAAAACCCTATGATATTTTTGTGTGCATTTTAGATGTGAACAAGATTGGCTCAGAAACTCAAGCTACTTGCCCAAGGTCACACAGCTTGCAGGTAGGGCTGGGTTTGAACCTAGAGCCCTCTCAAGCCTGGTTATTTCCATTCTCCATGCGGCTATCCCTTAGGTCTCTGTTTAACTGATGGGGAAACTGAGGCTCTGAGTGCTCATTCCCAGGCTCGAGTCCTGTGGGGCCCTTTCACCCAGGGCATCCCTGCATCCATGCAACCTCATCCTGGAGGCAGAGCCGTGGGGATGCTACCACTCCACGCACAGAAAAGGAAACTGAGGCTCGAGAGGCAGAGGAGCCCCCAGGGCTGCTCCACACAAAGGGCAGAGACAAACCTTGCCCACCAGGTGCAGGGCCAGGTCTCCGAGGGAAGCGGCCCCAGCCCCCACCGGACAGCCAGCCCCTCCCCAGCCCCGGCCTGCTCCTCCCCCCATCTCCTGCTTTATGACCTGTTTTATGAGCGGGAGGCCTGGCAGCTTCCACGTTGCCATGGGAACCAGCCCAGTGCGGGCTCCTGGCAGCTCGATCTGGGATTGGCAATTTTAAGGCAGGAGCCAATCCTGGGACCAGTGGGGGGCGTCCAAGGGCTGGGGTCTGTGGGACCCGGGGTTGCATGGTGCCTGCCTGCCTCTCTCCTCTGCTCCCGCTCCCCAGCGACCAGAGAGCTCGGGGACCTCGCAGCTGGGAGATGACAGGCCATTAGAGCCCCAGAGGGGCCTGGGTCGGACAGGGAAATGACATGGGCCTCCAAGTCGGGGCTGGAGTGCGGACACACATGCTCGGGGATGCAAGGACAGCCAACACGAGGGGCCTCACAATGGCATGCACAGACACACACAGACTCACGCAAACTCTCACACACAAACAGAGACGCACACAGCAGCCATATGCACATAGCAGGGAAAGACACACAGACACACACAGCGCCACAGGTAGGCTGGGGTGCCCAGAGACATCTACAGACACAGACTTCCAACGACACTTACAGCAGACACCGTGCATGCACAAGGGACACCCAGAGACATGCAGACACACACACAGACATACAAAGGAGCTGTCTTCCCAGGAAGCTCACAGTCTGGTCAGGGGACAATAAACAAACACACAAACAAAACAAGTTTGAATTGTGAGACTTGCCGTGGAGACAACACAAGAGCTAAGAGTAACTTGGTGAAGAATAGGTTAGGGTAGTCAGGGAATGCTTCTCAGAGGAGGTGACGCCAGTCTGAGACAGAGGATGTGATGGGCTGACCAGGGAAGGGGCTAGAGAAGACACCCAGCCAGCAGGAACAGGAGGTGCAAAGGCCCTGAGGTCACAGTGGGGCTCCACGTGGCCAAGGAGCACCGAGGGAACCAGTGTGGCAGCAACAGAGGGAGGGGCAGGCCATGAGTTCTGCATGAGTGACTGGAGGTCGAGTCAGGCAGGGCCTTGAAGGTCAAGTTATGGACTGTGGGTTTCATTCTCCATAAAAGGGGACCCAGTAAAGGGTTTCCATCAGGGCATGATCTGATCAGAGTCACATGGTAATAAGCCCACTTTGGTTTTGGAGAGGAAACAGCCTGGATGGGGCAAGACTGAACATGGGGAAACCAGGGTGGGGGCCGCAGCAGCACCCGGAGGTGGGGTGGGGTGGCTGCGGGCTGGGCTGGGTTGGTGGCAATGGCAGTGGACAGTCCTTGAAACTGTGCATTCCGTGCCTTTCTGCTGAGCTCCTGCCCTGTGCCACACTGGGGACACGGAAGCAGGCAGACAGAAACCCCTGCCCTCGTGGGGCATGTGGTCCAGAGGGAAGAGCATGGCAAAGGAGCATGTGCCACTGATAAGTGGTGACAAGTGCTGTGCAAAAAATCAAAGCAGGGAGGAGTGGGGATGATTTGCAGTTTTAAACAGGAGAGTTAGGAAAAGGCTCACTGAAAAGGCAACATGTGAGCAAAGATCTAGAGGAAGAATCTGGGGCAGGGAGTTCCAGGCTGGGAAGCAGCAAGTGCAAAGGCCCTGAGGCACACCGTGCCTGGAGCTCCAAGTGGCTGAGGCGGATTGAGCCAGTGGCACAGGAGGCAGATCATGTGGGGGAGGAAGGGAAGGAAGTAGGAGGGGGGAAGCTGAATGGTTAGGAGAGATCACGGCCCTGGGTGCCCGCAGCAGTGGGGTGAAGCTAGCAAGGGAGGACGAGGGCTCCAGGGCAGCCCTGGCCCCGTCTCCCTTCCGCTCAGGGGGCCCTGACCCAAGGAAGAAGCATCTCCCAGTCCTCCTTTCATTCCACAAAGCTTCACCAGCCAAAAAACAAATATAAGAAAGGAGGCGGGGTGGGGGAAGAAATCATTCCGGGAAAGGAAGGCCACCAAGGTTGTGTGATCACGCTGGCCACACGCCAGCCCGGGAGGGACGGGACTTCTGCCCTCCTCAGGAGGCTTGCCTGGGCCCGAGGCACAGAAAGAGGGTGCACACAGGCAGTAGCAGCCATTTCGGGGCTCCTCGCCCTGCCTGGGGACACCCCAGCCTGATGCAGGGCAGCGGGGATGGGGCTCAGCTGCAGAGAGCAGGACAGTGGCTCCTTAGGGCGCTGCAAGTCCCGAGGACTGAGGACGCCCCGAGTCGGATCTCAGGCTCGTTAGTGTCTTGGCACAGATGGGCAGAGCCTGCTCTGGCTGCGAGCTCTGCCCGAACTTGCCTGGCAGGAGCGGGGAGCAGGAGGCAGGCTCACGGCGCCGCCGGCCGCCCCCAGAGCCAGCCCCAGGCGGGACGGGGGTCCAGGCAGCCCTGAAGGCTCCACCAGCACCACCGCCCTTGGCTGAGACACCCTCCCTCCCCGAGCCCCGTCGTCCCTGTCTGTCCAAAGGGACCACAGGCCTTGTCCCACCTGTGTTCACAGCAGCCAAAAGGTGGAAGCAGCCCAGAGTCCACCAAAGGCCACACGGCTAAGCAAAGTGTGGTATAAACACACGGTGGAATATTATTCAGCCTTTAAAAAGGAAGGAAGTCCTGTCACATGCTACAACATGGATGGAACCGGAGGACATTGTGCTAAGTGAAACAAGCCAGACACAAAAGACGAATACCGTGTGGTTCCGCCCATGCGAGGGCCTGGCGCAGGCAAGCCCAGAGCAACGGAAAGTCGCTAGGAGTCTCGGTGGCTGGTGTTGAAGGGGCGCAGAGTTTCAGCGACGACAGATGACAGAGCTCTGCAGACGGGCGGTGGTGATGATTGCACGACAATCTGAGCGCACTCATGCCACTGAACTGTGCACTTAAAAATAGTTAAACATTAGTAGGTAAGTTGTATGTTATACACGTTTTACCACAATAAAAAAGATTGTACCAAAAAGCAAAACACTGGAGCAAGCCTCTGCTCCCCCGTCTTCCGGGGCTCGGGTCACACCCACCGTGCGCTCTGCACCCCCTCCCCCCACTCCTCTCCGGCCCTCTCATGCTTCTTCCAGCCCATTAATTTCACACCAGCCTTCGGGCCTTGGCACCCACCCGCTGTCCCCTCTGCCCCGACATCTGCGGGGCTTGTTCCTCCTCGGCCCTCAAGTCCCAGGTCAAAGAGGCGCCTGCCAGACCGCCCTGCCCTGGCCGCCCCCAGCCCCACTCCCGTCCCTCCCCATCCCTTTCCGCGAACGTGCGTCTCTTCCCAGCGTCCGTCACACCCGGAAGGACAGCTGAGCCATCCTGCTGTCCTGTACTGGAACGCCAGCTCTGGAGGGAGGCGATCTCACCTCGCACACCTGGGAGCGATGCCGGCACGTGGTAGGTGCTTCTTCGATAGCTGTGGAGTGAGTGGAGGCTGATTCCACGGTGTACGATACATACCTAGGACGTGGCGTGTGTCACTACGTCTGTGCAGATGGGAATATGTGGGGAAGCCTGGACAGGTGCCCTCGCGTGCAGTGGTGAGCCACGCAGGAGGGCGGGCACGGGGCTGCCGCAGGGGCCGCAGGGGCCCTGTCGTGGTGCACTCGGTTTGTTCAGGTGGCGACTGAACCCGTCACGGCGGAGAACACAGTCACGGAGTGCCTCGGGGATTTTAAACAAAGAGCTCTGAGCTCTGATGCTATGCCCCATGTCGTGCCCACCGTGTAGTGGCCGGGGTCCTCTAGAGGGGCAGAGCCAATGGGACATGTATAGAGGGAATATGGAATATGCGTGTATGGCAGCTCACTGGGGGCGCTGGCTCACACGGTTACACAGGCGCAGTCCCACAATGTGCCGGCCGCAAGCTGGGGAATGAGGAAAGCGCGTAGCTTGGCTCAGTCCGAGTCCGAAAGCTTCAAAACCGGGGGCCCAACAGTGCAGCCCCCAGTCTGAGACGGAAGGCCTGAGAGCCCCCCGGGAGGCTGCACATCCCAGAATCCAGAGGCCGAAGAACCTGGAGTCTGCTGTCCAAGGGCAGGAGGAGGAAAAGGTGTCCTGCCCCGGCAGGGAGAGAGACAGAGAGTAAAAGAAAAAAACAAACAAGTGGGATGTCCCCTTCCTCTGCCTGCTTTGTCCTGGTCTGCCACACTGGGGGTGGGTCTTCCTCCCCATCCCCTGCTTTCCATCAGTCTCCCCGGAAGCCCCTCACAGACACCCCACAGACGTGTCACTGGCCAGCCAGCCTCCCGGGATCCGTGGAGCTGACACCTAGTGTCAGCTATCAGGACAGGTGTCAGCGACCCTGCCAGGGCACGGTTACTCTGCCCCACCATGCAGCAGAGAAGCTCGTTGTCCGTTCCCAGAGTCCCCGAGCTCCTGCTACACACCAGGCACGGGCCTGGGCTCGGGACACAGCAGAGGGAAGAAGAGATCCTGCCTTCATGGGGCTGACGCTTTCGTGGGGGAGGCCGACATGAGCAAGCAGCGAAAACAAGTCTGTGGGAAGGGGCAGGGAGAGCAAGGGGTGGGCAGGAAATTGAGAGGGAGACCAGGAAAACCCTCTGGTTAGAATGTGCCCCCCGCCAAGTCCACGCGTTAGAAACTTAATCCCCAATGCAACTCGTGGATGGATTAAGTGGATTAATGCTGTTATCATGGGAGCGGGTTAGTTATGAGACAGTAGCTTCCTGATAGGACAGTTTCAGTCCCCTTCTCCCCCTCCTCTCCTCTCTCTCTCTCTCTCTCTCTCTCTCTCTCTCTCTCTCTCTCTCTCTCTCTCTCGCCCTTCCATGTCCTGCCATGGGATGACGCAGCAACAAGGCCCTCACCAGATGTAGCACCTTGATCTTGGACTTCCCAGCCCCCAAAACCATGAGCCAAACCAACCTCTGTTCTCTGTGAATTACCCATCCTGTGGAGTCCTGTGACTGCAGCACACACACACCAAGACAGGGCGAGCCAGGTGGATTGACAAGGCAAAGGCAAGTGCAAAGGCCCTGGCGTGGGAGCATCCCTGGCATGCAGGAGGCCACCGTGGCTGGAAGGGCATGTCCCAGGGCGGAGCAGCGGGCTTGGAACGGTGACGCCACCTCACAAGCAGGAGGTAGCGGAGAGCAGCGTCTCGGGCCTGGCAGACTGTGACGCCGGGCTCCCGGCTGCAAAGGGCCCAAGCTCTTCCTGGGGGGGACGCCGTGGGGGGCGAGCGTGGCTGTGTGCCAGGCACGGTGCCGGCACGGTGAGGGATCACACCAGGAAGCCCCCTCCGCCTGGGGCTGCCGCTGCAGAGCGGGGAGGAGAGGAAAGTGGGAAGTCAGCCGAGAGCCTGAGCAGGTTCTGTGAGTTCTGTTTCCGCGGGTGCTGGGGGGGAGGGCGGGCGCGTGTGCACACGGAGCACATGCTCCCCTTCCACTCCATGTGTGGGAATCTTCGTGTTGTCTTTGTGAATGTTCGTGCTTCCCTGGAAAGATCTCTGGGTCCACCAGGGGCTGTGGATCTGTGTCTGCAGGTCTAAAAGTGCATGCGTGTCATTGCGTGTGTGTGTCACGGGTCTGCACAGAGGCTAAGTGCTGCCTCTGTGGCATGACTCCCTCGGTTGGAACCTAGGTCTGCCACTTACTCGTGTGACCTTGGGCAAATTGCTTACCTCCCTCTCTGCCTCACTTTCCCTATCAGTGAAATGGGGATATTAATAAGGTTGCTGTGAGGATCAAATTAATATGTGTGCGATGCTTGGAATGATGCCTGCATATACTAAGAGCAATGCGTAGGCTCCTGGTGTGTCAGCGCTCTGTCTGTCTGTCTGTCTGTGTGTCTGGCTGAGTGCACTCGCTCCCGTCGTGCGCCTGGTAGTGCACCACTCGGCACATCTCAGTGCACGCCCGTCCATGTCTCTGTCCATGTGTCCGGCCTCACTGTTAGCCCTGCATTTGCAGCGTGCAGTCTCCTCTCTGCCTGACAAGAGCAAATGTGGCTGGCTGGGGTGGGGGGAGGGGAAAGGGCCAGCAGGAGGGGGCTCCTGCCACGGGCTGGCCAGCTGGACTTTTCACAGCCCAGTGACTCTGTCCCTCTGATCGGCCAAGCGGCTAGACGGGCAGGCAAAGGAAGGGCCCCTCTTCTGGGCTGGCCCGGCCTGTGTCATCCCTAGCCCTGCCCACAGGGCTGGAGCTTATGTGCCTGACGCCCCTCGGGATTGGGGGAGCCCAGAGAGCAGGTCAGGTCTGAGCCACCTCTGTGTCCCCATGTCACCGCTAACACTGACTGTGGGCTGGCTGAGTGGCAGCCCCTGTTCTATACTGACACACGGTCTAACTCACTGAATCCTCACACTGGTCTCCTGAGATATGTCTTCCCATTAACCCCACTTTACGGATGAGGAAACTGAGGCACAGAGAGGTGAACTGCTCACTTAAATCCCACAGCTGGTAAGTGGAGAGACCAGAATTCAAACCGATTAAATATATGTTAAATGACTGAATGAATGGACGAGAGACGGAGAGCGAGGGTTGGGGTGGAGCAGAGAGACTGGGAGCGAGGTGGAGAGCGGCTCTGGCAGAGCAAGGGACCAGCTTGGCTCCCTGCAGGGGAGCCCGGGGGCTGGGAAGGGACTGCAGGACACGGCCAGATGGTGGGGGTCTGGAAGGCCAAGCGGAGAGGCTTGAATCTGAGCTGGCTCTACTCTTCGGAGCCCTGGCCACAGTGAGGTGCCACGGGGACAGGCCACCTGGATCCTTCCTTGTGGATAAATTGGTGAACTGAGCCCAGGTCTCCGGGAGAGCGAGTGGCTGAAAGCAGAGTAGCAGAGTTGGTTGGAAGAAAAGCTCTGCAGTCAGTGTGGGGTTGAAAGCCCAGTGCCCTGTTCCCAGTCATCTCCTGCCATTGAGCCTCAATTTTCTCACCCGAATCAACTCGTTAAAAAGATTCAAGTCATTATCCCAATGCCCGACACGCAGTACTCAATCGATGATCACCCACTATCAAACAGGGACTTAAGATCACTGTAACACATTGATTGAAGGATCTAGTGGAAAAGGTGGACAGTATGCATAAACAGATGGGAAGTTTAGGAAGAGAAAAGAAAATTGTGAAATAAAGAAAAAAAAGAGAGAGAGAGTCGACTGGAAACTCCAGAATCATGCTAGAGAAATACGCTATCAGAGAGGAGGGATTCTTTTGATGGGATTATCAGCAGGCTGGGCACAAGCTAGTACGGCAAACTTGGTGGTGGGTCAACAGAAATTCTCCAAACTGAAAAGAGAAAGTGAGAATAAACATTCACAGCGCGCAGGCTTCCCACATCTGTTACGAAGGTTGAAGAAGCCCAGTGCCAGTCACGTGAGGCTCCTTGGAATCACTGGATCAGTGGAATCGTTCCTTCACTCATTGCACAGAAATGTACTGGGGCGTAACACGCAGCAGACAGTGTTCTCAGCATTGGGATCTCGACAGCGATCAGAAGGACAAAGGACACTGCCCCCAGGGAGCACGCAACCTCCCGGGAGAGTCAGACCCATCAATCAGTAAAATATATGGTATGTTAGACCGTAATTTGTCCCATGGAGAAAAATCACAGAAGGGTTCGGGAAGAGTCCAGCTGGGCAATGCAATTTTAAATAGGGTGGTCAGTCAGAGAAGCCCTCAAGAAGAAGGTGATATTTGAGCAAAGACCTAAAGGAGGTAATAGAGGGAACCATGTGAATAGTTGGGGGAAGAACATTCTAGGCAGGATGACAGCTGGTGCAAAGGTCCTGGGGCACGAGTGCTGACAGTCAGTCAGTAGGAAAGCCAGACGCCAGGGTGGCCAGAGAGGCGTGATCGTGCATGATGGGAAATGGGGTCAGAGAAGCAGGTAAATGAGAGGCGGGGACCCCAGGAGGGAAGCCGATTACCACGTAGGGATTTGGGCTTCAACTGTGAATGAGACGGGAGCCTTTGGAGGATTTCCATCAAAGGAGTCACGTGACTTGAGTTCTGTGTTAACCGGATTCCTCTGGCTGCCGCCTGGAGCACAGCCTGCAGGAGGCCAGGGTGGAAGCAGGGAGGCCAGCCGGGGAGTCTGTGTGACGGTCCTGGTGAGATTATGGACCTGGATGAGGAGGGTGGCAACGGAGATGGCAGGTGCATTTTGAAGGCTGAGATGATGTCAGGATAGTCTTTAATGTTATTGTCGCTGCTGTCATTAGGGCTAACCAGGCTCCTCCAAGCCTTTTCAGGGAGCCTCCGTCCAGACAAGCAGGAGCAAAGCTGCCTACCTGCCCCCCACCAGGGGAATATTGTTGGCATTGCTGGGTGGCTGGCAGCCAGGCACCATCTCCCCAGAGCCCCGCCCTGCAGGTCCCTGGTCCCCCCGGGCATCCAGGGACAGCTACAGGCTCAAGTCCGCTCTGAGCAGCCCCCAGTTCCACAGCTGCAAGGCTCGGATTGTTTGTTTACTCAGAGTCAGCAGATTCGTCTAGAAGAGCTAGTCCCTGTAGCACCAGGTGTCCCCATCTCCCTCCCTAAACGCTCATGGAGAGGAGGAGGCAACCGCTCCAAGACACCCTGGCTCTCGCCTGATTCCGGGGCCCCTCCCTCTCCTCCAAGCACTGCCCGGCCCCTGCTGGTACCTGCATCATCCCGCCCTCGCCCTCACACCCCGCAGGAGCAGGAGAAAGGGCAACACCACTTAGCGCTTAGAACTCCCCAGAGCTCCCCCTGCTAGAACCTGGATGGCAGCTTTCCAGGCCTGTGTGATACGGCCCCCTCTTCACGCCCGTCCCCTCCTCTCACCCCACTTAGGACCCGCCAGCTACAAGAAGCTGTGCCCAAACCACCCCGCCGAGCCTTGCGCACATTGCTCCTGCCCATGGAGTCCTCTTCCCACCTTTCCCACCTGGCAAACTCCCACCCGTCCGTCCGTCAGCCAGTGCCAGTGCCCTCTTCTCCAGATGGCTGGAACCCCCCAGGCTGGGCTCCCTTCTGGCTCCCACAGCCACCCACCATCCCCCACTCCAGATTCTGCCGCCTTAGATTGCAGGGGTGAGGACGAGCCCTTGCCCGGGTATATGTGGCCTCCAGACGCCAGAGCTCTAGCGCTAGTGACAATCGGAAAGAGGTGAACAGATAGGTTAAAACCTGTTTTATCATCCTCAATTACCGGTCGATTACATGCAATACACACACCCTGCACCCCCCAACCTTTAGTCCCTGGCTTCCCGGAGGGCAAGGTTAAGTGTCTTATTCATCTCTTTCTCCAGGGCGCCAGCGAGGGCCTGGAACTGGGGAAGTGCTCATAAAACCGGCCCTGACATCTGGGAGACATCTGGGCCCCGTCCTCGCGCTGCATAGATGCCACAACTGAGGTCCCTGGAGAAGGCACCCACCCAGAGCTAGGGACAGACAGAGGCAGCACCATCCAGGACTAAACCCTGCTCGCCGCCACCCTCCCCCACCTCTCCCTGCACCCTCTCTCCCCCCAGCTGAGGCTCTCTAGGCTGCTTGGGCTTCCTGAAAATTCCCCTGTTCCCCATTCTAATTAGCATTTGTGCCTGGCCTGTGTTACATAGGGTGTCCCTCAGGAGGAAACTCAGAGACCGGTGGGGAGACTTTTGGGGAACCGAAACCTTTGCCTTCTCTCTTGAATCTCCCCCCAACTCTGTCTACGTTAACCGTATGTCTGCTCTCAAGTCAAAAACTTAAGGTTGACAGGGTAAGGGCTAGGCCTGTCAGCATTTCCCAGTGACATCTGGTGACAAACGGATTCTGGGGACAATGTGTTCTGGAAATGCTGCATGAGATCTCCCCCTCTTGAAACTTCCCTTTACATATTATCATATAAAGGAAACTAAATCAAGCAAAAAGAAAAAAAGAAGAAGAAAAGGTTGGTGAACTTGCTTAATCTGGTTCTTCAAACTTACTTAACCACATAAACTTTTTCTCAAAGTTCCTTTTTGCATCTCTATCAGTTACAGTCCTTTTAGTTGCATCAGAAACCTCCATCAAGCTGCTTTAGGCAATTTAGAAGTATGTTATCTTTTGGGACTGAAAAATCTAGACAAATGAGGGCCTCAGGTTTAGTTAGCTCAAGGCCTTGGCTCCAATTCTCAGGGATTCCCTTGGATCTCTGTCCCCTCCTCTGTATACTCATCAGCTTCATCCTCAGCCTGGCTTCCCTCATGGGAACAAAATGGTTGCAGCAGTTCCGGGCATCACGCTCAAGTACCCCATTGCACAGAGGAAGACGAGCTTTCTCTTCTAATTGTGGACCACGTGTCCAAATGTCCTGGCTTTATTTAGACCATGTGCTTATCCCTGAACCAATCACCAGCTAAGACAAATGGGCATCAGCCAATGAGAGCCCACCCTTGGGATGAAATCATAACATCTTCCTCAAAGCCTATGGCAATGTCCTCTTTCTAGTAACACCCATCCCAGCTACCCCATCCCATCCTTCCCTGCTAAGAAAATGTTGATTTGTTCTCATGACACTGGTGAACCACTGATTTCAAGGAAGGTAGGCCCCTACCTGAGCTCTGAGGGTAAATCTTGACTAGTCCAAAGGTCATGGTAACCTTATTTCTTTTCACTAAAAATTGGTTCAGGAATGGCCTTATGACTTGCTTCTAGCTAATGACATGCAAGCAAAAAGCTCCTGGGTGGGGCTTCTAGGAAAGATTTTGCCTTCCTGACACAAACAAAAGACTTGGATGGCGTGTTTCTAAGCCCCTTTACCTTACCTCCTTGTTCATACCTGGAATGAGGATTTGACACCTGGAGATGTGGCAGCTATCTTGGGACCATGAGGCAACAACTACAAAAACAAATGTCACTGCTCCAGAGATGGCAGAACAGAAAGATGGAGCATGAGGACTAGACAGCATCATTAGGCAGCTGTGCACACCCTTGACTGCTATCTCTTGACATCGTATTATGAAAAGTTAGAAATACATATTTGTTTAAGCCAAAGGTATTCCTAACTGACACAAAGCCAAGTCATTTTTTTTTTTTTGCAAGTTAGGACTTGTGAAGGCCTTAAGACACAGCCTTGAGACACAGCTGAGTTTCCTTGAATCTCAGATACTTTCTTAAGCATATCCTGCCCCAGGGGTGTCTATAAGAAAGCAGATCATCCAAGACTTCACATCCACCCAGCAAAGGAGTGAGTGTTCCCTGCGTGTGTGGGGTGCCAGGAGCCATGGAGCAGCAGCCTGCAGCTGGGAGCCACTGCCTCATCTATTCCCATGGCAGGGTGTCTGGGTTTGCTTTGGGCTTATGTAAGAGGCCTGTAGCTATGCCAATCCAAAAGCACATTCTTGAGCCCAGATACTGGTTGGGGTTCAGCAAAATCTATCTAGAGCCTTAAACCTATCTCTCCCTTCTATCCTGGTCCTCTCACGTCTGGGATCTTTCCTGAGAAAATAAGCCAAAATAAGAGGAGAAAAACCTAGGAATGTAAACATTTTTATACAGCCACATATACAATAGGCAAAAAAAAAAAAAAACTCTAGACGAATCTAAATGTCCTATAACAGAGGAAGGATTTAAAAAACTATCTGTTTAATGGAATATTATGTGATCGTGAAAAATGATGCTTACAAGTTTGTGATAGCATAGGAGGAAACCCAGCGGTAACATTATATATATATATATATATATATATATATATGATATAATCTCAATTATATAAAAATTGCATGGGGAAAAAATAAACCAGGAAAGAACTACCCTAAGACATTAACAGTGATTGTCCTTGGTTAGGGTTATCATGGGTAATCTGTTGGGGAATTTTTCCTGCCATTCTGTATTTTTCCATTTTACCTATATGTTCTACTTTTATAAGTAGAAAAAAATAAAATGGACTTTTCTCTTTAAAGCTTCCAGGCCCCTCCACTGTGTGAGATCATTGCCATCCTCCCTTCTCCAATAAAGCCGGGCAATCAAGGGCTGCCTAGAGCTGGTGACCCCGTTCAGCATCAAGCCAAAATAAAAACAGCTTCCAAACCCGGCATATTTGATTAATAGCTTGAGATTCTTTCAAGAGGCAAAGGGAGTGGTGGAGAAAGGGGAAGATCAACACCCTATTTTTAAATGGTGACGTGAGCTCACAGGAACTAAAGGCAAAAAGAGGTACACACCATTTCAGGCCTAATGCAAATCTATGCAAATGAGACGCACTCTCTGGCTAAGCAAGAATTCTGGGTCTGAGCTCCCACCTGGGTCCTGGGTCTCACCGAGGAGAGAAAGAGGAAGGGAAAGGAGACCACCATTCCTTGAGCACCTACTAAGTGTCCGGCTTGCAAAGCATTTTCACAGCCTGGAGCTCATCTGACTCTTGCCACCATTTGAGGTGAAGGTAAGATTATCATTGCTACTTTGCAGGCAAGTCAGATGGAGCTCAGAGAAGGAAGTGGCGTGTGTGAAGTGAAAGTGGCACTGGCCAATTCCAAAGCCAGGTGTGTCTGGTGACCAGGCTAGGCAGCCCTGGGGTACAAAGACATGATGCCTCTGGTGGGGTCCAGGGTCAGTCTTCAGTGGGCAGGACAGATGCAGGCTGCTGGGGCCACAAACTACGAAGGTCTAGAAGCCCTGGATGCAATGCCATGAGACATCCGGGTGGAATGCATGTCATCCCAGACAGACCTTCGCCGTGAGCTGGCTTTGCACTTGCTGTACCTGGACACTCTCCCTGCAGTCACCAGCCAGCTCTCTACAGCTCCCTCTGACAGCTCTCTGCTCAAAGGTCACCTATCAGAGGGGCCTCAGCTGACCTCTCTACCCCAAAGAGTGTCACCTGCCCACCTCTCCCAGGCCCAGCATCTATCCCCCCCCCCATTCTCTTCACAGCAGTTAACCCTCTCCCACTTCCTGCATGTGCATTTGCTTATCCACAAGAAAGCATGCTCTCTGAGAGTAGGGAGTTAACTTTTGTTTCCAACACCCGCTTTGTACTTGGTGTTCAAGACATAGATGTCAAGTGAATTAATGAAAAAATAAATGAATTTCAATTTTTCCAGGACCTAGTTACACAATTTTGACCACTGACCCGACAACAATAATAACAACATAATTATTAATGGTAAATGATTTTTGTAACTTACATTTCTGAGCACATATATTTTTTCTGCATGCCTTTCTTTGCTTGGTGCTCACATCAGCCATCTGAAGCAGGGAACGTAATTATCCCCATTAGACAGCTGCGTAGACCGAGGCAGCGAGAAATCTGGTACTGCCCAGAATCAGACAGTGTAACCGGCAGAGCCAGGACTTGAATCAAGCATGTCTGGTTCTAGAACCTACTCCCCTCCCCCTCATGCCCCAGGTCAATCCCACCCAATGGGAGGGCAGGCGCCACATCTCCTTGTGCCTCGCTGTATTTCCGGTGCCTGGCACCAACTCCCTTGACCTTGAAAAGCATTAGATACATCAGTGGTTCTAAAAGCGGCGTCAGCATCGGTTGGGAACTTGTTAGCAATGTTGATTCTTGCTTCCCACTGCAGACCTACTGAATCACACGGCGGCACGCTGGGGTATGAGAACCTCGGGGACAAATTAACGTCCCCAAGCCTGCTGTCCCACCCCTAAAACAGGGCTGGTCATGGGGGGGGCACTGTGAGGGTAAAATGAGAACCACGCCCAGCGCCAGACCCGCCAGGGGTTCAAGCTCTCCTGATTCCTTCCCACAAGCTATCGGGGGACAAATTTTCATCTCCAATTTCGAGCCTTTGATTCCGGCCTCATCTGGCCGGGAAGATGGCAGCTTGTCAGAGGGAGCGGGGAGCTGGGAGTGATGGAGTCGGAGCAGGAGGATCTATTATTAATTAACATGTAACATTGATTAAGAGCCCACAGGGCACCACAGCTGCAAGGAGCTTGGGAGAGCCTCGGCTCCTGCCTGGAGGGGAAAATGATTAGCAACATTATGAAAGGAAATATTCATCCTGTAGCGGCCCTGAACAAACACCTCCAGGGATGGGGAATGTTCCTCTCCCAGCGATCTTTCCTCCTGGGGCTGGGGCAGCTGCCTCCGCTGCCCGGGACAGACTTGTTGGGGCAGGAAGCTGGACCAGCTGACTTCTAGCCTGCCTGCGGGTGTCGGCGGATTGACAGATCAGAGAATGCCGCTCTAGGGGGCCAGAGATGCCTGGCGTGGCCTCTGGAGAAAGCAGTTCAAGGTGGCTGGATCTTTCTGATTTTTTGCGAGATAGAGGCAATCTGGATTTGGATGTCAAACCTTCTAATTTTTAGATATGGTTAAGACAGATTCTGAGTCAGTAACTTCTCTAGCTGTTCATCAGCCCTGGTCACATTTAATCCTTTCAACAACTCTACCTCCATCCTTTCAACAACTCTATCTCCATCTTCTAGATGAAGAAACTGAGGGTCAGGGTGATCACTGACAGAGGAAGTCGGTGGAGCAGCTGGGATTCAAGCCTGCATGTGCTTCCTGAGTCCTTGCTTTCTCCACTGAACCACTCAGGTGTGCTCAGGTGTCCTGCCCCTTGTGTCCCCAAACCTTCCAAACATATTCCAGAAAGTCTATGACTATTGCCCAATCCAAGCCACACCCCTCCAAACTGTGTCACACCCAGATGCCGCATAAAAACTCCTAGTCAGGCAACGGGTTTGAACACCTGGCCGTCCCACCTACGCTGTGCTCTTCCCAGAAGCTTGGGTGCCAAGGAGCCAGCGCCACCCTCCCAGTGGTCCTGCTTCTGACCTTTGACCTCACATTTCCAAGAGGGTCTTGTGGGACTGACCAGTCACCTCCCCCTTCGCTTCATGGAACCCTATTTTTTTCTGCCACTGACTAACTGAAAAGACTCAAACAAGTCCCTACCCCTTCTCTGAGACTTGATTTCTCTATATGCCAAAGTGCACCATTTGGACCGAAGAATCAAGTTTCTGACCTCATTAGTTCCACGGTCAAGCCACTGACCAAGCCATTTCTAAACTCCAGAGCAAGAACATGGACTTCCTAGTGGTGATGATGGTGATGATGGTGATACCAAGATACTAGTTCACATTTTTTTAATGTTACTTAGTGCCAGGCACTTAACATGATTATCCTGTTTGATCCTCACACCAACCCTATGAAGAAGGTGGTCTTGTAAGTGCCGTTTCACAGACGATGAGACTGAGGCTAAGGGAGGAAAGTGACCCCAGAGCACGCGTGCAAAGCCTCCACTCCGGTGTCCCCGCTGCATTGTCTCCCATGGCCGCAAAATATGAGGCTTGTTGGCTCCTTCTAAACTCTTCCATCTGTAATCCAGACCACATCAGGTCCCTGGGGGCTGAGCAAGCTGCTCTGTTTCCCAGGAAACCATTTGGAACCTTGAAGATTTATTAAGGAGTCCAAAGATTTGGGGGAGAATTTTCAAACCGGTACAGCTGGCCACAGATCCCCCGGGAGGTAGTAAGCTCCCCATCCCTGCAGGTGTGCAAGCTGAGGCCAGGCATTGAATTAGGGGAATGTTGTAACAGGGATTCCAACACCAGATGGGAGGTGAAGAGGATGAGCTAAAACAGGGTCTTTTTTGGGGAAAAAAAACACAAACAAAAAACAGTAGCTAAGAGCCAGACTGCCTACTTTGCTGAGTAACCGTGGGCAAGTTACTAAACTCTCTTTGCTCAATTTCCTTGCCTTTAAAACAGAACTAATAATAGTGTCTACCTAGCTGTATTACTGTAAGATTACATAAACGGGTATGTGTGGAATATTTAGCAGAGTGCCTGACACATGGTAAGTCTGTAAAGTGCCAGCTATTACTTTCAAACTTTTTTTTTTTTTTGAGACAGTCTCACTCTGTTGCCCTGGCTAGAGTGCCGTGTCGTCAGCCTAGCTCACAGCAACCTCAAACTCCTGGGCTCAAGCGATCCTTCTGCCTCAACCTCCCGAGTAGCTGGGACTACAGGCATGCACCACAATGCCCGGCTGATTTTTTCTATATATTTTTAGTTGGCCAATTAATTTCTTTCTAATTTTAGTAGAGACGGGGTCTCGCTCTTGCTCAGGCTGGTCTCGAACTCCTGTCCTGGAGTCATCCTCCTGCCTCAGCCTCTCAAACTTTTTATTTTCACTTTGGAGTCCTGTCTTGCAACCAAAACTTCAGTGGATGTCATACAAGAAATAGACCAAGGAGAAGCTGCCTGGCTCGAAGAAGTCGGGGCTAGGAGCACTGGGGCCCCGTGAAACATGCCCTCTTCCCATGATGGCCTCCATACCACATCACGGGTCTGGGGACAATGTGACAGCTGTGGCTCAATGCCACTGCAATCTCTGCCTCAGAAGCTGAGTCGTCGTTATCAAAATCCAGTCTACTCAGGCCTCTCAAAACTAGGCATTTGGCTGCCACATTTTACAAATGGGGAAACTGAGGCCCAGAGAGATGTGCTGAGGTCATCAGCCAGTTAAGATATACAAGTTTCCTCTGGAGGGCAGAGGTTACATCTCGGCTGCTTTCCCAGAAAACAACACCGAGAACGACCAGGTCGCGC